AACAACTTCAAACCAACAGCCAACTCAAGCTATCTCAACCTCCTTCCACGGACCCCCTTTTCGACGATTCATCGACGTGGATTCCATGCTCGAATGAGCATTTTCGTTTTTTTCCGGAAGAAGAAGATCAGGTAGCTTAGAGACTCCATCAGCAATGTAAAGCCTAGCCACCTTGTGGCTCTGCCACCGCCCCTTCAACAGGGCCAACTCCATAGACCCTGTGGTCTGGACAACCCACGTGGCGCCGCCGCGGCGTAATGAATATGGGCGGAAGCCCAACTGTGTGATGCGGAACCTTCGAAGGTACGAGTCGAAGTGTTCTCTAAAGGCCTGGCCAGTATAGCCCCACAATCTTTTATCCAAGGCCCCTTGGGCAGTCAACACATCAACCAAAGTTGGCACCAAAAGAATCGGGAAAAAGTGCGAGGAAGTGACCATTTCCCCAGCGGCGTTCCGCTTTCCCGACTTGGTATCTTTGAGCGATATCACGAGCTGCTTGGAATTGACCAACAAATCTCTACCGGTGAGATGGAGAAGCTCACCCGTTCTCAAAAGGGTAAAGAACCCCAAGGCCAAAAGGCAGGCGAAAATGAGATCATGGTGGCATACTGCATAATAGCTCATGGCCATCACCAAATCAAGCGTCAGTGGCGGCGCACGCGCCGGCCATTCCAACTTTTTCCAAGTCGCGAAGTGTTTCCAAGCCGAAGGGATTTTTCTTTTGGTGAGAGGTTCATAAAAGTGAAGGCCTGACAAGGCATTCCCCACCGTGTACAAGGATTCGCCGTCCTCCCATGCCATTTCAACCCATTGGGCGCAAGCAGCGTCTAGCTCTGCTTCATTCTGGATGTCTTCAATGTACGGCAGAAGCAATGTCAAGGCCGCAAAGTACGCGCAATGGGTTTTATCACTGACACCCGCATCCAACAAGCTCAAGCCTTTGCGGGCTTCTCTTCGTTCCCGACGGGTGCGCTTGTGAAACACCTTAACGCCGACTCTCGGCATCAGTGGGGTTTTCTGTGCTTTCAACGTGTGCTAGGATCAGGTAAATGTTGTACAAGAGGAGGTGAGCGTTCAGGACTTTCAGAACATTGTTCAGCATGCGACTACTAGAACGACCCTTGGAAGCGACACTTATTGAAACATAGGAATCGCTGATATGAAAGATCCGCTTCTCTGACCAACGCTCAGACCTGATACCCCGCAAGATGCTCAACATAATGGCACGTAGCTCCAACTGATTGATGTGCTGTGGCTTGGACCAACGCACGTGGAACGATTTTTCCCAATTCAACCAATCTGCGCAAAGGGATTGCCTGGGGAAGGCTCTTGGGTTAACAATGTCACCACTGACCACGCGGACGTCACTACCCGTGAAATTGGCACGACCCAAAAGAAGTAAATTCAGGTCCCGAACCAAAATCTCCCCTTGGGCCTCTGCCACTCGTTGGCAACCATATTGAAGTGATCGTGCAAGTGGGGCCTGAAGCCGAAGGACTGCTCTGAAACCCGGGGCGAGACCCATACGGCGACAAAGGTGATGATAATGGATGGTGGGCAACCGCGAGCGACAAAGGGCAGCCCCAACAATAACAAAGGAATAAATACTAAAGGAATCGCCAATCAACGAACATTTCTCACGCTCAAAACCTGCTGCATCTTGTTTAATGCGGCTAGCTGCCCATGCCACCTCACAATGCTTATAGCCGTATCCCATCAACAGGCCTCTCTCCTCACTGTTCGTGAGCCACCACTTGTTTCCCTTCCAAAGCAAGAATTCTTCCCTAAATTGGTAGGGGGGGATAGACATAGCCACAAAGAGCCCAACGATCACGACAATCTTGGTCCGCTCTATGCAACCCGGCGGGTTTGCTTGGGGGATATTGCTTCCAAACTGCCCTCATACAGGTTGGGAAGGATCCAGCCGTTTTCTCACCGGGCCAATGAAAACCCGGGGTGATCCACTGTTCAACACTCGGGTAAGGTCCTTTTGCCACTACTTGGAACCATCGCCTATCTCTAATGACCTCGACACCCGAAAGGCACCCCTCCAAATTTTCGGTGGTCCAACAAAGACGTGGTCTCCGAAGAGGGACTGCTTCAGAGCAATCCAAGTAGTAGGGCTCACAGCCCATCCAAGATGAGATCTCTCGAGATGCACTCTCATCCATTGAGGCGACGTTTTCTGCTGCCACTTTGACATGGATGTTGCTGGGGAAGTGCGTCTCGATGAGTTCCCAAATTCGAAGGAATTCAAAGAACAATGAACTGTCATTTCCCTCAAGGTTTCTTCGATTTGCTCGAGCTCCACAAAGATCTCGACAGGGGAAACCCCCCCACAAATGGACTTCCTCCACTGTGTGGAAGTCCCTGGCCCATTGTTGCACGTCTTCACTGCTGATCTCTTGCACATCTCTGAGGATGTGCACACCCGGCCAACGCCGACTAACCACCCGATTTGCCGGGGCGTGAATGTCAACACCAATGCAACCCCTGGGAAGAACATCCAGGATATCATAAATGCGGAAGGTGCCTCCAATGCCTGAGAACAAACCAACCACTAAAATGGGAGCGGTGCCTAAAGACCGGGAAGACAACCTGGAAGACATCACAAAGTCCATACCGGGTGCAGTAAGAGAGGGTGCAAAAGCGACAGCCCCTCCCTTCTCAGAGGCATCACTGCACCAAACCTTGTCGTCAACCTCTGCCCCCAAGTAAGTGTGGATCAACGGGATTGCCCCCAGCAAAAGAAGGAACTCACGTTTTGTTTGGAGTGCCAAATCATCACCCCCCTTGTTGATAAAAGCCCAGCATTTGTCCAGGAAGCTCATGGCCGGTCTTCTGAATTGTATAACATGAATCCACCTACCTGCCACAACTTGCACTGTTCTTCGTTGCAACGGCTTTTGCCCAATCAAAAAGAGGGTTGCCTGCACTAATTTGCAAAACCTATGAGGGGATCCACCCAAAATGCCAAGCTGACCATGAACCAAAGCCCCAAGCTCCTCAATTTCTGGGGCATCACAAACTCTCTTCTTATCCGCCGAAAGAATCCCATGCTTCTTCCAGGTTCTCTCAACCGTCTCATGGACCTGACCACCC